GCCGGGCCGCCGGCGCTGTCCCTTCAGCACCACCCGCCGCCCGGCCCCGACAGCCGGCCCGGGGGGGGCTCAGAGCCACGTCCAGGCACTCGCACCCCACCCCTAGCCCCCTTTCCGCCACGCAGCGCCTTGCATGAGCTGCTGGGCTCTAACACACCCTCCTGCTCCTCGTGGCTTGTACAGCTGCATGTGTCAGGGACCCTTTTTTACTTATTCTCTCTGGTTTGTACCTAAATAAACTGCTCCAGCAGCTGACGATGCGGAGGGAGGGTTGCCTTAGTCATTTCCGAAGGGCTCGTTTCAGCAGAGTACACCGCATGGCTCTGCAAGTCCGGCTGAGGCTGTGTACGTGGGAGGAGAGACATTTTTATCACAGAGGTAAGTGGTGCAGCACACAATAGGTTTAGCTTGGCCGTCTTCACCTGATACATGTTATTAACACTGCCGATCTGGGTCCTTAAGGCTAATCCATATGCAATACCGCTCTGAACCAAACCCAATCACCAAGCTGTTTATTACTATGCATTATTCATTGATATGCATCTTTGCACATGCATACATTAAATGTTAATTTAGAGGCATCTGTGTCCAAATGGTTACCAAGCACCTTCATAAGATTCAGGCCAAAAAAAACCACCAAAAGCAAAAAATAAATAAATAAATAATAATAAAAACCTCAGAGCCCTCTCTCCCTGCAAACCACACCCAAATCCATGCATTTTTACTAAAAGGTGGGGAAAAACCCAAAACCAAGGTCACACCTAAGTGAAGCCCTATAATAAATGCACAACACAGTGATAAAAGACTCCAGACTAAAAGGAAAGAAATAAGCCTGCAGCTTGGCCCTGAAGGATGAAGACAATGTGCTCTGGTAACTAATGAAGGAGGGAGAAATCCAAAGGCAGAGGCCCTCCAGGGGAAAAGCTCCACCTCCTTCCCCTTCTGGGACCATAAGAGTGGATCAGCCAGGGTTGCAGCCACACTGCTCTCAGGTGCTTTGTTGGGGGTTGGAGGCCAACATATGGTCTCTCAGGTACACTGAAGTCCTGTATTATTTAAGGTTTATAAATATTAATAGTCATAGCATTGCTGATCAGGCAGTCCACAGAAGCTGCAGAGAGTGCTGACAAAGGCTCCAGCAAGCTGAAAGCCTTGAAGCGATTGTGTTGACACGTTCTGCAGTTTGCCAAAATGTATGCAGTGGCTTTCAGGGATAGCCTTAAATAAAGCTCATTCATCACTTGGCACATCCTTGGAAGATGCTCAGATGGCCACGGACACAGGCCTTTGTGGAGGGATGGAAAGAGAATGATCTGCCAATAAGCTAGCCTAGAGGCTGTGAAGTGACTGAGACAAGAATGAAATCCTGCAGACAAGACTGCAACTTCCAAATGTTTCAGACCTGATAAAGGTCACTCCCAAAAGCTGAGGTTTCCTACCATACAGATCTGACTCTCTTTCCAACAAACCCTCAAAACATGGACAACAATCACATATCAAACAGCAATCTCCAAGTATTTCCCCTTTCCACACGCACTTGAGGACACACTCAGCAGTGTCTTCAGTCATTTTGTGTTCAGCTCCAGTTGTGCTCATGGGAAGTCTATCAAAGTCACCTTACCACAGGCTGATCTGTTGAGTCTCTGATTGGCCTCACATATCAAACCAAAGACGATTTCAATCACCCATGTGGAAACTCAGGCATTCCAAAAGAATCACTGAACTACTAAAAGGAATCCTCCTTTTGGCTGTATTCTCCTTTTTGGACATTTCACAGGGTGTTTGTACAGTACTCTCTCTGTCTTTACGGTCCTTTTATGGACACTGAAAAATACTGGGGTAATTTCAAAAGTTTTTATTCCAACCTGTGAAACTCAATTATCAGATCTTGAGAAATGTCCAGTTGTAGCAAATTCTACTCATTCTTTTTGTTAGACTTGAACTGAAACTTTTTGATACACCTACATGAGTCCACAGCTTTATTCCCAGGATATTCTTTTCCTACAGGAAGAGTGCTATCATGAGTAAAGCTCAACCAGCCAGCGTACTGTGAACTCAGACCCCCAAAATCACTCTGACTTTGGGACCAGCCATAAAAATTTATTGTCTACATGAGTCCCATTGAGCCCCTATAATGTCTGACACACAGGTCTTGTTTAAGATCCCAGAATTCCCAGCCAGATATATGAGATTCCTTACCAACTTTGCTATCATAAAAAGAGTATAGGCTGATGCAACTTAACTTCAGTTTGAGTTTGTTTACAGCTAGTTAGCGTGGCACAACTCCTGAGTGGTAATATATTAAACCAGCAACCGGATATGCCCATGCTCTAAGCATGGAAATAACCAAATTTTCCTGAAAAAAAAAAAAATCACCAGACGCTGATAATCCATGTGTACTTAATAATCCCATAGGGCATCTATTTTCACTCTGAACCCCATAAATTACTTTGAAAATGACACTGACCCTCATCTGAATTTCATAAACCCAGCATCAGTAAGAAAATTTCCTCAGGTAACCGCTCATACTTAGCCCTACTGACAACAAAGGTGGAGAAACACTGAATAGTGACATAAACACAACCTGAGAAACAAATCAGGCCAGCTGGAGTTACACTGGTAGCCTGCAGTCTCCATGCAGCAGATTTTTTTATTCCGATCCTGTAATGAGTATTAATTGGTTCTTGCAATATCACACTGATAGGTACCTGTAGGATATATACTGTAGGATACCTGTAGGTATGCAGAGTAAAAATCACCGACGCTGATAATCCATGTGTACTTAATAATCCCATAGGGCATCTATTTTCACTCTGAACCCCATAAATTACTTTGAAAATGACACTGACCCTCATCTGAATTTCATAAACCCAGCATCAGTAAGAAAATTTCCTCAGGTAACCGCTCATACTTAGCCCTACTGACAACAAAGGTGGAGAAACACTGAATAGTGACATAAACACAACCTGAGAAACAAATCAGGCCAGCTGGAGTTACACTGGTAGCCTGCAGTTTCCATGCAGCAGATTTTTTATTCCGATCCTGTAATGAGTATTAATTGGTTCTTGCAATATCACACTGATAGGTACCT